TACCTATTTTCAAGAACACCGATATTGTCCCTAACTTGATAATTACCAAGTGCACAATCGAAGCGGTTGCTTTCGCATTAGAGAGTGTGAAGTTTTGAGTCAATATTCATAGCAGAAAATAGTCTCTCCACCAAAGTGGTTATAAACAATAATATCAAAACCAATGTAAGAAGCTTAAATTGGCTAGGATTAGATCCTAAAAAATGTTAGGCGCTAGTCAAACAACAGATTGGGACCAAGCAGGCCTAGGTGAGATCTAGGCAGGAGCCTAGATGGATTTAAATTATCGTAAAATAAGCATTAAACAATATTTACATTGTTTTTAAAAAGTAATACAATATTTATAGATAATGTGAGAGTTTAAGATAAATACGGTGGGAGTCTTAAAAGAGAAAATAAAAATACATACAAGAATAAAAAAATAAAAAATAAAAGGAAAGAAATGAGTTAATAAACCACAAAAAAGTGGGGTCAGAAGAGAAAAAAAAGGGAGGAAATGGGTAAACAAACAAGTCGCGCAGAAAGATAATTCATTGACTACAATGTGGCTCAATAAAGTTAAAATACGTGTCCCACTTTCCTTATTAAAACTAGCAACCAAACACCCTAGTGTTTAGGGCAGTCACGCATCGAAACATCCTGTTTATTCCTTTCGTCCCCAACATCTCCGCACGTTTGCGTGCCATGGTTGCCATTGCTCTCATCATCACCACTCCGTTTCAAACATAAGCACAAACACAAACAATAATCCAGCTATAATTTACCCATTTGAAAACCCAATTTTTTTTTTTTTTTCAAATCTGGACAAACAACCAAATTTCACTGTGACTCGTCACCAATCCTTATCTCCTTAGGCAACCCACCACCAATCCTACTATACTCTGGCGGCAACCCATCTCCTCTCACTCTCTTCTACAGGAAGACTGACTCGTTGTCATTATCTTGAAAGACAGCGATTACTGAAGACGGTTTCTTGAACAGCATCAGAAACCAGATCATCGGAGCGGGTTTTCTCATTACCAGAGTGGAGGGGCTGAACGAGCACTCCAAGGTGTCTTTTCCAGCGAGGGGAGGAGCGGCCGCAACTCCTTGCTCTCATGTAGCTTCGCCACTGGTGGTGAAGCCAGGATTTGCTGAGGGGAGGGACGAAATTCAAAGGAGTGCAAAGTTCAATCGAAGCGGTTGTTTTTGCATTGGAGAGTGCGAAGTTTTGAGTCAATATTCATAGCAGAAAATAGTCTATCCACCAAAGCGATTATAAGCAATAATATCAAAATCAATGTAAGAAGCCTAAATTGGCTAGAGTTAGATCCTAAAAAATGTTAGGCGCTAGTCAAACAGCGGACTAGGACCTAACAAGCCTAGGTGAGATCTAGGCAGGAGCCTGGATGGATTTAAATTATCGTAAAATAAGCATTAAACAATATTTACATTGTTTTTAAAAAGTAATGCAATATTTATAGATAATGTGAAGTTTAAGATAAATATTGTGGGAGTCTTAAAAGAGAAAATAAAAATACATACAAAAACAAAAACTTAAAAAAAGATGGAAAGAAATGAGTTAATAAACCAAAAAAAACGTGGGGCCAGAAGAGAAAAAAAAAGGGAGGAAACAGGTAAACAAACAAGTCGCGCAGAAAGATAATTCATTGACTACAATGTGGCTTGTAAAGTTAAAACACGTGTCCCACTTTCCTTATTAAAACTAGCAAAAACACGTGTCCCACTTTCCTTATTAAAACTAGCAACCAAACACCCTCGTGTTTAGGGAAGACATGCATCCAAACATCCCGTTTATTCCTTTTGTCCCCAACATCTCCGCACGTCTGTGTGCCATGGTTGCCATTACTCTCATCATCACCACTCTGTTTTAAACATAAGCACAAACACAAACAATAATCCAGCGATAATTTACCCATTTGAAAACCCAATTTTATTTTTTTTTCAAATCTGGACAAACAACCAAATTTCACTGTGACCCGCCACCAATCCTTATCTCCTCCTGCAACCCACCACCAATCCTACTCTACTTTGGTGGCGACCCACCTCCTCTCACTTTCTTCTACAGGAAGATCGACTCGTCGTCCTTCTCTTGAACGACAGCAATTGCTGAAGACGATCTCTTGCGCAGTAGCATAAACCAGATCACTGGAGTGGGAATTCTCATTTCTAACTAGAGTAGAGGGGCTAAACGAGAGCTCCTAGGCATCTTTTCCGGCGAGGGGTGGCCACCACTCCTTTCCCTCACGTAGCTTCGCCACTGGTCCCACCTGCACAATCCGTTAAGTATGAAGTTTTATCACAAAATGCCTTAATATTAGTTGAAGTGGAATTAAGATATCCAAACTATTATTTTTCTTTTTCTATGGCCAATGTGGGACTCAACACTTTTCTAGTCCATAATTAATAAGCGGGTTTGCAATAGAGAAATATGGTTGAATAGGACAAAATGATCTATGGGTAGCATAACTTAACACATTTTGTCCGTGATAGATTATAAACTCTCCCATTCCTTTAGTCTTTTCAATGGTACTTGAATCTTAAGTTGCGGTCATGTCTCACCTCCATTGTTGATATTGACCCTAAAAAAGGAACGATAGATAGATCTAGTATGTGAACAGCTAACCATCGAACTGTAAAAATTGGATAGGTTATATCTATAGTCATTTAGGCCTCCTCAAAAGATCTACTAAATTCATCGAGTTGAATAACTAGTGAATTACAACTCTATTATACTGCAATTGGTGCATTGGTCTTTGCTGCCTTATGATTAATTGGTCACATTTTATTCATGAAATGTATTGGGTTGGAATCAATCGTTCAAGTATTTTAAATTGCATGTTAAAAACGGTAGAAATAGGGGCATATATAAGTATAATAAATATATATATATTATTATAATATATATGTTATGCGATCTATATTGAATTGATGATATAGAAAAGAACTTTAGCTTTAGCCGATCGTGACCAAGAAACCAATGGTTTCACTTGGTGGGCTGGGAATGCCTGACTTATCAATTTATCCGGTAAACTATAACCTTTTTTCGGTTTGAGCAAGATACGACCAAAAGCCCCTGGCATGATGAATCCTGCGATGTATTGGTGATGAGTATATAACGCAGCTTGAGTAGTAAAGTCTTGTGCTATGAACGCATAAGTAGGTAAAGAGTACATGTGTTGAGCGACCAAATTAAGTTGATTCTTAGGAAATCTTGAATAAGACCATTTACACTTACTTCAATAAAGGAAGAGCAGGCCTCCTCGATAGAATTATTATTATTTTTTTTTAAATTTTATTTTGTCCCAGTTCAATAGTAAATAGGTTTGAACTAATTGAATACTTGTGCCAGAAATTCCCCGAATTGGTTTACCATTTCCATAAAGTATATAATTTACAACTCTAAGTTCTAGATTATCCCTTTCCCGCAATGGATCCTGGAGGGAAAGTGTAGCTAAATTTATATCGTCTGCCATTTCATATATGATTACAGGTCGAACCAAAATAAAATACTTTTTCTTGGTGGGTGTGATCCATTGGACATAAATCCAATTTTTCAATTTTTTGACTTCTTAGAATTTTTTTACCGTTCCTGGTGGTATCAAGATGTCGTTGTGTCAGAATATCTTATCCATCTCTCCATGAAAATGGATATCTCTAGAAAATATTTTTAGTTCAATCCTTTTTTTTCCTAACCTCAACAAGAAGGCAAATGGTAAGATCCGGGTAATAGGTTTATTTCTATAGTGGAGATAGTCGACCGTAATGATAGATCACGACCATATCAGTAAAAGCTTGTGGTAAGAATGGGTTTCACTCTAGTGCCTGAAAATAATATTCTAAAGCTTCCTTAGAAAGAATAAGTAAAAAAAGAAAAAAAAAAGAGAAAAAACAAAGAAAAAAAAGAAGGGAGAGGTAGGGATTAGTTACAAGATAAATTGGGGTTACAAAATATTTATTGTAATAATAAAGCGCTTTTAGTTCAATTGGACTTGAAGCCAAGTAAAGGCAGCTTGCTATTAAGTTATAGTCTTGGACTTAGGCGGGGAACCTCAGTTAAACAAACTAGTAATCTAATCAGTCATCTAATCTTATGCTAACGGCAGTGGGACTCCTACGGGTAATGAGAAGCTTAAAAAATGAAGCTCATTTCTTTGAAATCCCACTATAGTAATGCCAATAAAAATAGAAAATGAGAGACCCAATGTAATGAGAAGATGACTTATAACTGCAAAGCTATAAGGTATCATTCATTCCTACTGACAGTCAGAATTTCTTTGAATATGTCCTTGAATTCATTCGGGACGTGAGCAAAACTCAGATTGGAGAATTATTGGTCCATGGGTTCCCTTTATTGGAACTATGTCACTATTTATTTTTGTTTTGAATTGTTCAGGGGCTCTTTTACCTTGGAAATCATACAGTTACGTCATGGGGAGTTAAGAATTTTTTTAATGCAGAAATAAGCAAAGGTAATTGATATCCGAGTGATAGATTGTAAGATGTATATTTGGTGAAATAGTTAGTGCATGAAGTTTTTGTATGCTTTTCATCAAAAGAAAACCATTACGATCATTTGATCCTAATTGGATTAGGTTTTCGTGTCTTGTGGAACAAGAATGGTCAATCTCAGCAAAGTCAGTGAACTTCGCCTACCTTTTCGGATCACAGCTGGATGTGATGACATCATCACATCGATTTGAGCAACTCTATTCAATCAGAGTTGTTGAGTCCATGATCGGACTTCTAAAGCATACATTTTCCAATCGCCTTACTCCGATTCTGAAAAATCATGATCCCACAATCTTCATATCCTTATTTTCTGGTTATTATTATTATTTTTTTTTTAACAATCGATATTATTTTCTTGTGTGCTGATTTCAATTTTCAACACATTATTATGACTGTAACTCACAACTCCACACAAACATTAAAATGTACACGTGTCATCATTAACGTTCGAGCAAGAGTTACTAATAGAAATTACCTTGATTATTAATTTCATTAGTTGGATTTATTGATTGTGACGAAGAGTACAAGAAGTTGGCAGCTATATATATTCTTTTCAAGCAAAGGAGCTCAGATTACAAGTTGGGACCTCAACATTCATAACACAAACAGTAATTATTGACAGTAAAAAGAGGAGGTAAATCACTTAAACAAGATTAGGGTTTTAATTAACAAGTGGCATACTTCTGGGTCCAACTCCGAGCCGTTGACTCATATTTGACTTTGTCACTCTTGCACGTATGAGCAATCTCAGGCACAAGAGGATCATCGGGGTTTGGATCGGTCAACAATGAACATATGGACAGTAAAACCTGCATTAATCAAGTAATTATTAGTAAATTAGATTTCAATCAAAACAATAATTTAAGATGAGCACAACCAACTATCGTCTAACTTATGTGTGACACTTGATACGAAAGTTTTCAACTTGTCTCAAAAAATTATGATTCTAAGTTAGCTCAAATATGAATCAACAGAAAACTCAAATTGTGTGTGTTACCTTGGAAATGGTGAGTGCTGGACTCCATTGCTCCTTGAGAATGTCCAAGCAGATACTGCCGTTGCTGCTTATATTTGGATGGAACACTTTAGTTCTGAAGGCAACCTACAGATTCTCACTGAATTAGCTGTTAGAAAGACTAAGATCTTGGGTATTTTCTGTTGCCGGTCTTATATTGTCATATTGTAAATCCAAGTAAGACGTTTAAGCAGTAACAACAATATCATCAACCTTTCATATCCACAGCTTGACAATATAAACGTCTTAGCTTAACATACAGTTGGAAACATAAACGTCTTATGTTGCTAGACAAGCTAACAATGACAATATAAACGTCTTAGCTTAACATACAATTTGAAACATAAACTTCTTAGGTTGCTAGACAATCTGACAATGACAATATAAACGTCTGAGCTCAACATCCATTTTGAAACATAAACGCCTTACGTTACTAGAAAGTCTGGCAAGAAAACATTGTTGGAACTTGTGTTTTATGTGGGACTCCAAGTCCGAGTCCCACTTCGCCCAAACCTTTGCTTTTCTTTACCTTTATAAGTGAGTGAACTCACTTATAGTTTGAAATGAATTGGGCCAAAGCCATGGACCTTGGACCTGGAGGGTTTGGGTGCATATATTAAATGTCAAAGATGTGCCTTGGGCCTTGGGGCTCGGATGGACAAAAAACACAAGTTACGTTTTTGATTTTTTGGATTCAGTTTTTTCAAAAAGGATAAAACTGATTGAACAGTTACGTTCAGTTTTTAAAAATTGATTGAACAATTGCATTCGGTTTTAAAAATTGATAAGCATGAACGGTTTTTTGTTCAAGTTATGCCATTATATATATGGCAATAAAATCAGAAACTCATCTATCATTTTCATTTCCTTTCACCATATTTCACAGAGAAACGCTCAATCAATTCGTCAAGAATCGAAGTTCGTGTGCAAGAACTTGGATTAGATAGTTGTATCTTGCAAGATAGACGTCCATTTGAATTACTGCACTGGTGTAGGGGCGTATTTCTGTCTTAGGAGATTGCTACTGCAAGCCTCTATCTTCCTAACCAAGTCAGTGTTTTGTGGTTTATTAATTTAGTTTTATTAATTGTTTATATTATGAGATATATATATAATATCCTTGTGAAATTTCTATTCGAAATAATCTGTGCAATTGTTTTATATTATATACTTGACATTTGATTGGTTCTAAGAAACATTTCACTGAAAGGTGACAAACTTATGTAAGAACAGAGTTTTGTGGAATTTTCTTGTTGCATACCTTTGGAGGTTTGAAAGGATAATCAGGTGGAAAATGGATAGTCACAAGGAAGACACCCCCAGAAATTCAAATAAATAAATATTTACAGAAACGAGCTCTAATCTGACAAAAAAAGCTTACATACACAAATGGTTGTTATTCAAAGAAAAAATGTCTGAAAAATGGTGGGTTTTGGGAATTCCGTCGGCGAGAGAGTGAATTCCCGCCAAAAGTGGACAAAGCCTCTTTATTTTTTGGGGTTTTTAATTTTTAATTTTTTTTGTTTCCTGTGCTGTTTTTTTGGTTCTTGTATAAAGTGAGAGCAGAGAGGATGAAGGTAATTTGAGGACGTTAAAAACCGGCAGTTTTCGCGGGAAATCCCAGAAATGCGACGAAAGAGGGCAGACGGACTTCCACCAGCTTTTTGCGGATTAACGAACAACAGGAGGGCTGTAGACGGCCGTGGCCGTACCATTTATGTTTCATTCAATTTATTTGAATTGGTTCTCAAACTAAATAAATTCGACAAAAAAAAATCAAACTAAAATAAAATTGAACTCATGCTGCACGATGAATAAATTGTCAAATCAAACTTTTGGACGAAATTAATTTTGGCATATTTATTTGAAGAGTTTTATAATTAGGGTTGGTCCTAACCTTAATTAAGCTTGGTTATGTCAATGAATTAGTTGTAAATTGGGGTGTTTGACTTTTCATTAATTAGTGGTCTATTTTTTAGATTAGCCATAACTAGCTAATTGGAAATGATTTGGTAGGTGGAGTCATGACGTATTTTCAAAGAATAATTTCATTTTAATCTAATTTAATCGAAAGTGTATAAGTATCACATCTGCTTTAGCTAATATCGTTACATACACATGTTTGGAATTAGAAGACGACAAATTTTACCATGAACAAGATGAAAATAATAAACTACGTGATGAGAAATATTTTGTTTTTGCTTTGTTATTTTTTGTTCGTTTTAGTCAAAAGCCACCGTAGGAACTATGTTTTTTGTTTTCAGAGATGAAAATCATTGTCAGATGTCATTTACAATGCTTTGACTTTATTATGGTTAGTTTAAACTTTCAGGTAAGGGAGTTGGTTTTTATACTTATTTTAGCATCTCGCATCTCTTTTTATTTACAGTCGTATTCACTATATAATTAATTAAGAAGCCACACGCAATGGTCGAAAATAATGACGGGTGTACTATGGATAGAATGCAAGCTTTCTACTACGGATAGAATTTTGACTTTTGCTACGTCGATTCCTGCCATTTGCGTACGCTGCTTTATTGCTATGAAGTTCCCTTGGCCTGTTTTTGTCATGTGGGCTACTAGATGTTGCAAGGAAAAATCTCTATCATCGATAGTTTTCAAGTTAAGTCTTTGCTGCTACAATGTATTATGTTTGGAGGGAATAGAGCAACCGTAGATTCAACAACTTATGTCAACCCGCTGCGGTGGTTCTCAACTCAACTAAGTCCACCATTAGACTATTGAGTTTTTTGAAAATCGCTCATTCCGCTGCTAATGACTCTACTTTACGGGAATGAGAATATAACTATGAATAGTTAGTGTTTATTTTTGTTGCTTGATGCAGCGTTGTTAACTTTGTTGTATGTTTTTCTTATAATTGCAGCTCTTTGTTGCGTGTTTGTATTTTAAGCTACTCTTTGCTGCTTGTATTCTCCTTTTCTCATCAATATATTTTATTTATAAAATATAAAAATAAAAATAATGACGGGTCTACAAAAAATGAAGAGTAAAAAAGGTGTAAAAATCACTTCCCTTTTAATAAACATATAGTAACTTTAAAATACAACCGTTTTGCCACCTTAGCTTGATGAAATTATGCAATCGGTCTGCTTAAAACTTTCTTTAGTCAAATCATATATATCAATCACTCTAGTACTACAAGTGGTTCTCTACCACAGTGGTTAAGAGGAGTGTTGCTCTTGCACCACATCGAAAGTTCAAACCCCATCGGCTTCATAATCTAACAAATTTATGGTTTGATAAAAAAAAATCACTCTAATACCAACTAATTCTGCAAGTTGACTGGTGTTTATTCTGTTAAGTATTTCTCTTCTCAAATGTTAATCATGTTTTTTCGATTTAAAAAAAGAAAAAGAAAACATTTATGTGGTCTAAATGTTTATGTGTTTCCTTAATTATTTTTGCATGGGATAAACGATTAATTACATATGAAACTCCCCTACGACTCTTTTGGTTGCCCAACACAGAAAACGTTTGTGATTGAAATTAAGATGGCAACAAAACACAACCATCACTGAAATGATATTCAAGTTGAGAAAATCGTTTTCCTACTTAGCTTCCGTAATAGAGCATTTACCTTTACACTCATAACCCAAAATTAAAATTTAGCCTAAGCTCCCCGACCTTTCTTTGTGACAAGAAAAACTTGAGTGAAAAGAGAGCACTGCCACATGACACGTAAATATGTACCATGAATTGTTCTATTAAAAAGTACAATGTGTTACATATACTATCTAGTTTAAATATAAATAGCTGAATACCAATTATCCTGGCATTAGCAACAATTAAGCATCTCCTAATTAATAAATTAAAGTAGGGTTTTTGGCAGCCGTCCATTGCGTACACGTTATTTGTTAGGAGAATATATGGTTGGTCAAAGGGTATCAAGACATGCCCTACTAAACCTTCTTTTCGATAATAATGTCATATAAACGATATAAATAAACCACACAAACGGTAATCACGTACGCACATACATAATCAATCTCTCTCCAAATATTATTTGCCATCAATGACATCAATGACATTATTTGATTTTATTATTGAACTATAATTTGTTTGAATGTCATTAGAAAATAATAGAAAGGTGTGCATGCATTAATGATTCATGCACGCTTAACCTAGATAATATATTTTGAGTAGTGCTATTTACATACTTTATTTTACTCTCACATACTTTTGTTAATTTTTGTTCATTGATCTTCTTCAATTCACAAAATCCAATAACTGAAAATTTCACAAAATCCAATAACTGAAAATTGAGAGAAGTGTGTGAGAGATAAAAATGGGTGTAGTGGATATAGCACCACCCTATATTTTATGAAAAAATTACTTGTTTTCAGTACAAACGACATTATTATTCTAATTTATGTACGCTAATGGAAGAGAAATGATTTTGAGAGTGAGTGGAATAGGAAAATCCTAAGCATCAAGGCAATACACCATTTATAAAAAGTGAATAATGGGATAAAAAGAAACAAATATGCAATTAGTAAATATTATGCGTTACTTGTAGCATTATTTATATAGTTTATTGGTTCGTTTGGATGTGCTTTTAAAATGACTGAAAATACTTTTAGATAAAATGTTTTTGGGTTCCAAAAGCACTTTAAGTGTTTTCTACAAGAAGCACCGATTATGTGCTTCCTACAAAAATTACTAATTATGTGTTTCATCCAGGAAGTACTTTAAGTGCTTTTCAAGGATTTCCTAGCATTTTTACTAAAAATTATTTCCAAAAATATTTTCACCAAAAGCGCTTTCAGTCATTTAAAAGGACATACAAACAAGCACTATACTTGTTATATAAAATATTGAGACATTAAACCTACTTCTGGGTAACAACTTGTATAGTACAGGTTTGCCACCATAAGGATGTCCTGTGTTAATAACACAAGGACATGTAAAAAAAATAATACATGTTCTTACATTAGTGACAAGGTTGAGTGATAAAACTTCCAACGGAAGTGGAAAGAGGGAACACCCCACACCAAGAGTTTGTAGGGAATATTTTTGAGTGAATGCATTTGGAGTTTAGTATATTTTATTTCTCTATTTTGTAGAATTATTAGAGAGGCAAGTCAAATACCTACTCCCAATAACACTGATATTGTCTCCCAATTTGATAATTACCAACTACCCAATCTACCAATATTGTCCCACCTGCACAATCCGTCAGGTGTGAAATTTTATCACAAAAGGCCTTGATATTAGTTGGAGTGGAATTAAGATATTCAAACTATTATTTCTCATTTTCTATGGCCAATGTGGGACTCAACACTTTTCTAGTTCATAATTAATAAGCGGGTTCGCAATAGAGCAATATGGTTGAACAAGAAAAAATGATATATATGGGTAGGGAAAGGGATCCTCTCTGGATCCCTTCTACCAAGTCCACAAAGGCCACAAATCCGGGCCTTTGAAATTTGATCCAACGACTACAGTTATTATAACTTTTAAAATGGGCCCCTGTTTGTAGCCGCTGGATCAAATTTCAAACGCCCGGATTTGTTGCCTTGGTGGACTTGGTGGTAGGGATCCGGATAGGATCCCTTTCTTATGGGTAGCATAGCTTAACACAGTCTGTTTGTGACAGATTGTAAACTCTTTCGTTCCTTTAGTCTTTTCAATGGCACTTGAATCTTAAGTCGCGGTCATGTCTCGCCCCCATTGTTGATATTAACCTTAAAAAGGAAACTGTAGGTACATCTAGTCCGTGAACAGCTAACCATCGCATTGTAAAAATTGGATAGGTTCTATCTATAGTCATTTGGGCCTCCTAAAAAGATCTACTAAATTCAACGAGTTGAATGACTAGTGAATTACAACTCTATTATATTGCAATTGGTGCATTGGTCTTTGTTGCCTTATGGTTAATTGGTCACATTTTATTCATGAAATGTATTGGGTTGGAATTGACCGTTCAAGTATTTTAAATTGCACGCTAAAAACGGTAGAAATAGGGGCATATATAAGTATAATAAATATATTATATATGTTATGCGATCTATATTGGATTGATGATATAGAAAAGAACTTTAGCTTTAGCCGATCGTGACTAAGAAACCACCAGTGGTGAGCCGGGAATGCCCGACTTATCAATTTATTCGGTAACCTATAATCTTTTTCAGTCTGAGCAAGATACGACCAAAAGCCCCTGTCATGATGAATCCTGCGATGTATTGGTGATGAGTATATAACGCAGTTTGAGTAATAAAGTCTTGTGCTATGAACGCATAAGCATGTAAAGAGTACATGTGTTGAGCGACCAAACTAAGTTGATTCTAGGAAATCTTGAATCAGACCATTTACACTTACTTCCATAAAGGAAGAGCGGGCCTCCTCGATAGAAGATTTTTTATTTTATTTTTTTTATCTTGGTCCTAGTTCAATAGTAAACAGGTCCGAACTAATTGAATACTTGTGCTAGAAATTCCCCGAATTGGTTTACCATTTCCATAAAATAAATAATTTACAACTCAAAGTTCTAGATTATCCCTTTCCCGCAATGAATCCTAGAGGGAAAGTGCTGCTAAAGTTATACCGTCCACATTTCATATATGATTATAGGTCGAACCAAAATAAAATACTTTTTCTTGGTGGGTGTGATCCATTGGACATAAATCTAATATTTCAATTTTTTGATTCCTTAGAATTTTTTTACCGTCCCCGGTGGTATCAAGATGTCGTTGTGTCGGAATATCTTATTCATCTCTCCAGGAAAATGGATATCTCTGGAAAATATTTTTAGTTCAATCCTTTTTTTTTCCTAACCTCAACAAGAAGGCAAATGGTAAGATCCGGGTAATAGGTTTATTTCTATAGTGCAGATAGTCGCACGTAATAACAGATCACGACCATATTAGTAAAAGCATGTGGTAAGAATGGGTTTCGCTCTATTTCTCGAAAATAATATTCTAAAGCTTTCTTAGAAAGAATAAGTAAAAAAAGAAAAACAAAGAAAAAAAGAAGGGAGGGGTAGGGATTAGTTACAAGATATATTGGGGTTACAAAATATTTATTGTGATAATAAAGTGCTCTTAGTTTAGTTGGACTTGAAGCCAAGTAAAGGCAGCTTGATGTTGAGTTATAGTCTTGGACTTAGGCGGGGAACCTCATTTAAACAAACTAGTAATCTAACCAGTCATCTAATCTTATGCTCATGGTAGTGGGACTCATGCGGGTAATGAGAAGCTTAAAAAATGATGCTCATTTCTTTGAAATCCCACTATAGTAATGCCAATAAAAATAGAAAATGAGAGATCCAAAGTAATGAGAAAATGACTTATAACTGTGAAGCTATAAGGTATCATTCATTCCTACTGATAGTCAGAATTTCTTTGAATATGTCCTTGAATTCCTTTGGGACGTGAGCAAAACTCAGATTGGAGAATTATATAGTCCATGGGTTCCCTTTATTGGAACTATGTTTCTATTTATTTTTGTTTCGAATTGGTCAAGGGCTCTTTTACCTTGGAAATCATACAGTTACCTCATGGGGAGTTATGATTTTTTTGAATACCAAAATAAGCAAAGGTAATCGATATCTGAGTGATAGATTGTAAGACGTATATTTGGTGAAATAGTCAGTGCATGAAGTTTTGGTATGCTTTTCATCAAAAGAAAACCATTATGATCATTTGATCCTAATTGGATTTGGTTTTCGTGTCTTGTGGAACAAGAATGGTCAATCTCAGCAAAGTCAGTGAACTTCGCCTACCTTTTCGGAGCACAGCTGGATGTGATGACATCGTCACATCCATTTGAGCAGCTCAATCCAATCAGAGTTGTTGAGTCCATATGGTAATTTTTCTGGTAATTTTTTTATTTTTTTATTTTTTTTTAATAATCGATATTCTTGTGTGCTGATTCAATTTTCACCACATTATTATTGCTGTAACTCACAACTCCACACAAACATTTAAATATACACGTGTCATCATTAACTTTCAAGCAAGAGTTACTAATAGAAATTACCTTGATTATTTCATGAATTGGATTTATTGATTGTGACGAAGAGTACAAGAAGTTGGCAGCTATATATATATATATATTCTTTTCAAGCAAAGGAGATTACAAGTTGGGACCTCAACAGTCATAAAACAAACAGTAATTATTGACAGTAAGAAGAGCAGGAAAATCACTTAAACAAGATTAGGATTTTTATTAACAAGTGGCATACTTCTGGGTCCAACTCCGAGCCGTTGACTCATATTTGACTTTGTCACTCTTGCACATATGAGCAATCTCAGGCACAAGAGGGTCATCGGGGTTTGGATCGGTCAGCAATGAACATATGGACAGTAAAACCTGCATTAAACAAGTAATTATTAGTAAATTAGATTTCAATCAAAACAATAATTTAAGATGAGCGCCACCAACTATCGTCTAACTTATGTGTGACACTTGACACAAAAGTTTTCAACTTGTCTCAAAAAATTAAGATTCTAAGTTAGCTCAAATATGAATCAACAGAAAACTCAAATTGTGTGTGTTACCTTGGAAATGGTGAGTGCTGGACTCCATTGCTCCTTGAGAATGTCCAAGCAGATACTGCCGTTGCTGTTTATATTTGGATGGAACACTTTAGTTCTGAAGGCAACCTGCAGATTCTCACTGAATTAGCTGGTAGAAAGACTAAGATCTTGGGTATTTTCTGTTGCCGGTCTTATATTGTCATATTGTAAATCCAAGTAAGACGTTTAAGCAGTAACAACAATATGATCAATCTTTCATATGCACAGCTTGACAATATAAACATCTTAGCTTACATACAGTTCGAAACATAAACGTCTTATGTTGCTAGACAATCTGACAATGACAACATAAACATCTGAGCTCAACATCCATTTTGAAACATAAACGCCTTATGTTACTAGAATGTCTGGCAAGAAAACATTTCATCAAAAGGTGACAAACTTATGCAAGAACAGAGATTTGTGGAATTTTCTTGTTGCATACCTTTGGAGGTTTGAAAGGATAATCAGGTGGAAAATGGATAGTCACAAGGAAGACACCCCCAGAATAAGGGCTATCATATGGACCAATTATTGTTGCTTGCCAATGAAACATGTCCTCAGCCACAGGACCTGAACAAAGAAGAAAAGAACACCATAAAAATTACAAATACTTCTAATCTCTTCTCTTCTTCATACCTGGGTGTATGCAAGTTGGTTAGAACAGTGTACTCCTCCTTATTCATCAAAGTTCGAACTCCTTACCCGTAGTTCAGATTAGATTGACTAGAATACCGCTTGAACAGAAAAATTAAGAATAATTTCTTCTCTTCTTTTACCTGCACTACATGAAGTTGGTGGATCTCTTTGCAAGTCCTTGAGCTCCTTCAATATTCTCTTTGAGGCCATTCAATTCAACCACTTTCAAAACTGAAGCTTGTTGGTTTATGTTAGGAGGAGGTGGTGGTGTATTTAATGAGAGGGGTGGTGGTGGTGGACCTGCTGGAGAGGTTCATGAATTCATACTGCGGGCTGATGAAAGTGGGAAACAGAATCAGTTCCAGAAGCAAAAGTTGAAAAGCAAAAGAATCAAGAGAGTCGCATCAATGTGAAATGTAGCACAAAAAATTCAAAGATATTATTTGCTGTCACAAATCTCTAGTCATTGTTCTGTTTACAGAATTCTATCTTTATATCACATGTAATTGGCTGCAAATTTGATTACTTGTGCATGAGTTGGAAGAACTTTTCAGTGTGACCGCTAAATCGTCCTAATAAAGTCACGAAGCTGTGTGACTACCGCCACGCTTAAAAAATATCTGCAGATGCCATAAAAAGGGCATAACAAACTGAAAGTGATGACTGAGGGACTCCAATTGGTTGGCAGTGGGAGTGGTCCTGTGGATGCTTCTTACCAACCTAAAGAATTAAAAGATATATTCGTGCTTAGCCTCAAATAGTTCACGCCTTGAGTTTCTGGGACAATTCCAAAGTTGATGGGCTGTAAAAATGATTTGGAAAATCTTCTAAAACGAAATACAAACACTTTTTGAACATAAAGACCGTGACATTCCCTGCAATGCTTACTGCATTCTACTTTTGTTCTTGTTTCTTTCTGCATTCTATTTTTGCCATTTTCTTTCTTGATCATCAATTATGTCCGACAATTCTTGGACCGTTTAACTTTTCCTTTAGACCGCTCATGTGTGTACGCGCGCGCGTGTGGTTGTAGATCAATTTAGGTACGGACATTCGCGTTGAAAATTGTCATTTGCCCAGCCTCTCACGGACCACACTTGAACATTTTTGTATATGTTCATACAGACACACATACATTACAAACAGAGATTTTTGTATATGTTCTTACGGACGCATATGTACATTACAGAGAGAGAGAGAGAGAGAGAGAGAGAGAGAGAGAGAGAGAGAGAGAGAGCATTGTCACACTAACATTCAAGACTGCAAGAAAAATTATCATGATTCATATAATACATATACATAATCGTGAATTTTGAAATGTACTAAATCAGTTACACGATGTGGATATTATCGTCGCTTAAAAAGTAGAATTTCAGTACTATATAGAGACAATACATTAGGGAAATCAAACCCAAAGAGAAGAGGTTTCTGCATGTTACTAACATCGTAATGCAAAGCACTAATATACAAATCAGAACACTGCAAGGACAGCACAAACAAAGAACTTGATGCATACGTAAAGAGTGCTCCTACACCTGTCAGTCGCAACTACAATTCCCAGCCTGTGGCTTCCTCCAGGCGGAAAAAGATAGCACAGGGGCTGAGAGAGATAAATGGATAAATGGCTAATTGGTCGCACTTTCTTCTGACAATCACAAATCACAATATAGAGCAGGCCTTCTGTGCCTTTCTCTTCTTTTTCTTCTGCTTTGGTGGCTGGAGAACCACTTTAATGGCTGCATCAAAGACTGCTTTCACATTCTGCATTCACAAAGGAGTATTTACCGCAAACAATGTTAGACCAATGCATACTTTCCCCGTCGGTCTAAACTAATCTGAATTGAAGTTACAAACCTGCTGTGTTTTTGAACTGCATTCTATGTAAACCGGAGCCCCAATCAGCTTCCTTAGTTCCTCTCCCTTCAAAAGGAACCCAAATGAGAAACCAAAAAAAATGTAGAAAATGAGGTCTTTATCCTATTAGTTGCCAGACTTTGTGAGAAAAAAAAAAATAGATTGATGTCAAAATAAATAATTAAGCAAAGAAATATGCGACTGTAAATTCATGTTGCACCAGAAAATACCTGCGCTGTGGTAATTGGCACTGCACCAGGGTGATCTACAAAGAACTGCTTGTCATCTCGAAGATCTACAGCAATAAAATATAGCAGTCATGAAAAGCAAAGGATTAGTGACAGAAAAGATAAAGAGTACATCCAGTATGCTACTGCAAAATAACATGATGTGAACGAGAGTACATGTGGACGCTACGGCAACATAACCAAGACATGATTGGATGAGGCAATCCTGACGATATCAGACAAATCTTTGTATTTCAAAATGCACATGTAAATCCAACATATGTACATCTTTAAATGTTGATTTGAAAGGGGGTTTACAAAGAGCACCTGCTGACAAACAATTTAGTGCCATTACAAAGAGAAAGCTGTCAAAAGAGTTCTTCAAAATTAAACTTGTAACCTTTGCTAAGCTTTTATCATAAGAATCCTTTGACATTCTAAAAAAGGCTAATATGTAAGCACGGATTGCATGAGAAAGCAACCCAGGCAGTGTAACAAAAAACAGAAACAATCAACACAAAAGATGCAGTTGACCATCCCTTTCGATCTTGAAGTATGCAATGAACCCTATCGGATCCAACCAAGAATTCTTAGGTAAGCATAAGCAGGCAAAGCTACAACCCTAGGAAAAATATTCATAGGGAAAGGAAAACTACAGAATAATAGAGCAATTGAAGTCAAAACTGATAGCAATCACAACTCAGGAGTAGCGTAATAGGAAACAAAGGAAAGCAAGGGGGTAGAGATTCTAGAGATCTAACCGAGCTTAGTTCCAACAAGAATAATTGGAACACCAGGTGCATAATGCCTCAACTCAGGAACCCACTAAACATTAAAACAGGAAAGAAAGAAAGCTTCATCAGCGAAGTTAGACATCAATGATCAAACAATAATAGATGAAAGAAGAGGGTGGTGGAAACGAAAGAATTAACTGTGGATAGTTTGTCTTACCTTCTTGGCAACATTTTCATAGCTGGCCTTGCTTATGAGAGAGAATGCAAGTAGGAATACATCTGCCCCACGGTAGCTCAACGGTCTTAATCTATTGTAATCTTCCTGCCCTGTTTCACAAATTTAAAACATCAGATCCAAGCTTTAGAAGAAGACAAAAGGAAGGAATGTTTGTTTTGATTTGGACTTACCAGCAGTATCCCACAACCCCAAATTAACGGTGCTCCCGTCCACAACAACATTTGCACTGAAATTGTCAAACACAGTTGGCACATAGTCCTGTTCCCCAGAACATTGCAATGGAAGACAGCAAATCGTAATCAATCTCTTGCAAAGTCAATCTCATACAGAAATAAATAAATAAACATATGAAAGCAAAAGTATTGAAATTTTTAACAATCACACCAATGCAAATCTATGTGCGAAAACTCTCAAAGTTACATGCATGCCATACTTTTTAAATCACAAAAAGCACCTTACGCCGAGCAATCGTATAGTCTATTAAACAGGTATAACGCAGAAAGGTGTCTATTCACCATTTATGATCAATCAAGGAATTGTGTAAGCAGAGAAATCTGTAGACATGAAATTTATCGAAGCTCAATATTCAACTCAGTTACTTGGCTTAATTGTGAGATAAGACTAAACACAGGTTAAGGAATGGCAAATCAAAGAAATGGTCAAAGTCAAATGGACAAAACCAATAACTCTTAATAAATTCTGCACTTCAACATAAGCATTTTGATCATTTCAATTCAAGCACAAGAGCTCAAACTTGATGTCAAATACAAGATTTCTTTGTAATACTTTACATACCAAATAGAGGGTAAACTGAGAAATGTTGAAAATAATAGTTTGCTAAATTAAAAGCCGGAAATTGTTCGTGTTAAAATTGAAGTTAGATTTAGCATGAATTACTTACAATACACCAACTACCCCCAATCAAATCATGAGAATCAAGTTTCTTCTCATTTCCTAATTTGGTGTGAAAACATAAATGATGAAACACAATACACAAAACGAAGCTTTTCTTTCTTTCTCCCACATGTTCTCGGAAACCAAACAAAAAGAAGGAAACTTGCTCAAGAAACTTGCAGCAAACCCACATTGAGTGACCAGAAAACCCTACTAGGCTCAGCTAAGCAAACCCAACTAAAGACAAACCTCAAAGACTCAAACTTTTCACATTTTTTACTTCACTTTCTCAGCAATCAAACGGAAAAGGAAGAGAAGTTTACCGTGGGGAAAGTGTTGCTGGTGTAGGAGATGAGCATACAGGTTTTTCCCACAGCTCCATCCCCAACTGTGACACACTTTATGAACCTGGAGGCACTCATTCTCCACCCAACTCTGCCTCTTCCTTCTTCTACTTGTGCTTCCACAAAAACCCTAATCCAAAATACAGCAGAAGTTTCTGATTTCTTTAATCCCCACAATCCAGACAAGTTTTGTCTTTGAGACCCAGAGAGAGGGTTGGGAAGGGAAAGATGAAGGGGGCTGGGCCTAAAAGAGCCAGCTCTTGCCAGCTATAATGAAAGAGTATGATATTAATGTATTACCGTGAACCTCAATGACTCAATATCCCAATTCAGTAAATTCTGTTGTGTCCGTCTCACTGTCACTGTCACGTGAAGTTGTGTGTAACTTTCACATTGTTGTATAACGCACGTACAATATTATATATAGAATTAAGACATATGTATTCAGTTTTTCACTTATATTATAATAAGTAAATTAGTAAGATTGCGTGTCAGTGTGACTGTTACGCAATAAATGTTGCCCAATCAAAGTCCCAATTCAAGTTTCCAACTTCTTTGTAACTCAGTAAAACTCCACCAACAAAACACCTCTTATGCCTTCTTAAGTACCTTCTAATTCAAGGGATTCAAAAGAAAATCACAAGATTACATGAATTAGTTAGTTGTACTTATTTATTATTATTATTTTTTTTTTGATCAAACGATAAATTTATTAAATTAAAAAATCATTAAAATTTGAACTCATATCATGATGTAAGAGCAATACTACTCTCCACTGATAAAAAGTCATTTGCGAGACGTATTACCTATTGGGGAAACAAAAGAATATAACTAGGCTATTAATTTGAATTTCGAGGTTTGATCCATTTATTCTGTGTGGGGTTATACCATTCAACTTGGTACCAGAATTTGCATGTGGATTTGTAAACCCTAAAAAGCTGTGCTTCGTGCATGGCAATTCTGTCTCTTCCATCTTCCTCTTTTCTTTTCTTTTTCCTGTTAACAAATATGTTTGATGGATTTTATTTCAGTGTCCAAATCCAAACCATACATACCCCCGAAATATTTATCAATGACTTATGTTGTCGGACTGTAGATTTTACTTAATAATCTACTATTCGTTCGTAGTCTATCAACTTCATAAGCAAATTTATGAGAATGGTAATATCACTCTCTGCAAAGATGAGAGACAAGTAACAATATCTTTTCCATTTCTTTGGGCAGAATATTAAACAATTAAAGT